AAAAAAAAAATCAGTAAAATAATAGAAAAGTAATTTGTTAGACATAAAAATAAGATAAAAGCTGGTGTATATTGCGACTGTAAGATTACTGAACAAGTCTTAAACAGAAAAAATGTGCGTTCGCTTTGGTCGTTTGCTTTGTTGACCTTCTTATCTAGAAAATCCATCCATTTTGTTCTCAGAATCCTCATATTAATCATGTTCCGTTTCCTCTATATTATCTGTACTCACTTGATGTTTTTTCAATCACTATGCATTTGTCGATTCTATCACCCTATTCGGGCGGGAGAGAACAGATTTTGTTGGTATGGAATTGTGGCATTTGAGCAGTTAGGCAGAAACAGATTTCTGTCTTGAGCGCAAATCGTGAAATAGAGAAGAAGAGAAGAGAGCACAACAATTGTTGAGTACTGTAACGATTCTCGTAAGGCAAAAACGTTAGACACTTACAGCTCAGCAATTCAGTTCTTAGGTGTTTTTTTGTAGTTTTTTAACAGAAGGAATAAAAATAACAGTTTCGTACTACAGTTCCAGTCTTTATAACACAGTATCTAGCAAAAGTAGCATTTAATACTCAATTTCATTGAGAAGAAAATTTATCACTTTTTGAGAACAGTTTTTACATGCCATTACAGTTCTGTCTATAAGGTCGACTTGAGCTCGTTACCATTTCAGTGTCTGCAAAATCGCCAATACAGTAGCAGGAATAAGTTATTCAAACATGAAGACTTCAAAAAAAATTTAAATTAGCAATCTGCGGAGGTTAGACAACAATTTTACAGGAAATTCTCAACTTTTTTTTTTTCATTATTTACATAAATCTTCAATATGGAAATGGTTGTCGCTAATATTTTATAGCAGTCACCCTGTTGTAAAGCGATAATGTTTCTTTCTTTTTTTTTCTTTCAGAATTACAATTGCATTACTTCAATGTTATGTTAATAATCTTATTGTAATGTTCAGAAACGTAGTGCAGATACTGATCAGTGAGTGATGGGTCGCATCAACAGCAATTGTTGAGTACCGTAAGGTTTTTACCAATTGCTGATGACAAAAACAAAGAAAAAGAGTAAATTGGGGCAAAAAAAAAAAAAAAAGATTGGAAGAATTCTACCAACAATTAATTGAAACTATCAAAAAAAAAAAAGGAAATTTT